ACATCATAATCATGACTTAACGCCATTCCTATCTCAGTCATTCCATATCTTTCTAATAACACAACTCCATTACTAATTTCTTTCCAAGAATTTCTAATAGGAGTAGGTAGTGCTGATGATCCAGAAACCATTAATCTAAACTGTGAACACGATTGTGAAGCCAATGGTTGTATTTCTTTAGGAATATTAGTTTTATAATAATGAATTAATTTTGCTACAAAAAAATAGATATATATATTAATAAAGATATTTGCATTAATATTAAAAAATTATTTTTTGTTTAATTAAAAAAAAAAAAAAAAATACAATAAATAGTTGGCACTGCCATGAAAAGTGAAAGGTCATTATCTGGTTTCATCCATCTATTCCATACAGCGGCAGCATCAAATTTTGGTATCATTTCAATAGTGGCACCTGCATAGAGTCCACAAGTTAATGCATTAAGAATACCCTATTTTAAATTTAATAAATAGCTGATAAAAAAATAATAATAATAAGAATAAAAACAAATATAATAAATAGTTTATGTTATAACTTACATGTAAATGATGTAAAGGTAATACATGTAAAATTTTATCTTTATCATTCCATCTCCATGCATCAACAAGAGATTTAACTTGAGCATTAATGTTTGCATGAGTTGTTACTACACCCTTTGGTTTTCCTAAATAAAACTGGTTTAAAAAAAGCATTTTCTAAAATCCAAAATAGATTTTTTAAAAACTAAATTCAAAAAAATTTCTTACCAGTTGTTCCACTAGTGTAAATTATCATTGCACGACGTGAATCATCCATTGGAATCAATGATGGAGGCTATAAAGAATTAAGATTAAATTCGAATAAATAAAATAAAACCATTTTAATTATAAGCAAATGAAAAAGAATCCTTACTTTAAAATTGGTACCATCATATTGACTATATTTTTTATCTTTATCACAGACTATGATAACCTTTTTAATACCTGCTTCACGAGCAATATTATTTACTTTTTCTTGAAAATCTGAATGTGCAATCATTATTGTTGACTGAGAATCATTCAGAACGTATAAAAGTTCAGATGGTGGATGTGTTATGCCTTTACCAATAAAAATATAAAAGTGAGTTACTGCTTAATAAAAGTGAAAAAAAGAGTAATTTCTCGAATATTTGTAAAGTTAAATTTACATAATGGAACTGCAATTCCACCAGCAGACCAGACTGACCATTGAGATACGACATAATCATATCCATTTGGACATAAAAAAGCAACCCGTGCCTCATTTAAATCTTCAATAGATGTACCCGCATTTTTTAACAATTGTTTTCTTAATTCTATTATATCTGAAACTAGATGACGATAAGAATGGGATGTTCCAGCTTTGACATCAATGATTGCAGGTATCTGTTTAGATTGTGTTTCAGCGTGATGGAAAATTTGAGTAAATAATGGAAGATTGGGGAGGTCTGCAGTTATTTTAAGTTAATATATTATAGAAAATTATTAACAGGTGTTCAAATAATACTTAATCCGTGACGAATTATTAATAATAATATGATATCTATAGTATGCGTATATATTAAATATAACGAATTCAGTATTATGGAGCATATTTGTAAACTTATTTTAAATCTTTATTTCAATTTAAATTACAAAATTAATTTTTATATAACGTTTTTCATGAGTTTTATGTAAGTGATTATTGCACCACTTTTAACTATTAACTTCCGTTCTATTACTTTCTGATTACGAATAAATATATTATACATACAATTGCCATTGCCAAGAGAACTATAACATCTTCTGTGATAAAATGATCTCCGAAATACCCTTGAAGATAAAGATATAGACTTTGCGAACAAAATCAGACCTTGATTATGCATATTTAAAACGATTCACAGATGAAAGCTGTGAGCTTTGAATTTAACGTTGATTGGTTAAATTCGATCTATTCGAGCTCGAGCCGAATTAATAAATTTATGAGACTAATAAAATAATAAGAATTTAAGATTACTGA